GCCACATGCTTTAGATTAAGAGGTGATAATCTCAATGAAAATCCCCCCTTCTATCACGCATACGAATGGTCAAAGGCCGGAGCACAAACTCAAAAGGTGCAACTGGATTCAGAGGTATCTGACTTGGAGCAAGATAGCCTGGAAAGTGAGGCTAGTCTGGTTTCAATAAAAGGCAAGTACCTGCTGGGCCACAGACAGTGGGAGAGAGCGAGAGAAAAGACTATCAAAGCCTCAGAGGGCAGGAGGCTTTTAGCTACCTCTCACATGAGAACCTTTCATAATGTCCTCCATATACTTCAGAAATATGCCAATGAGAATCTACATTTTTGATTGTGGAATTTGATAAGAACTAAAAATCCACCTAATCTTATTATTTAATGTTGTATTTGACCTTTATATAGAGCTCTACCATGTCCCATAATTAGGATTTTGAGAAGAGAAAGGGACACTACTCCATATCTGAAATTTCTGTTTGGTATAACAGTGTTAAATTATCACTTGGATTTGCCAAGAAGCCATAGCAGTGTGTCCATGACATGCTGTGACGATAATGGGAGTCACCCATCTATCAGGGTTGTTCCCGCACACACACGACAGCTCCTGCTCAGCCGCATCCATGTAGTGAGTCAGAGCTGACGAGCACCGCTCTGCCCTCATAATGTCTGGTCGTATGCAGTTCTTATAGAGCAGAGATGAGTGTAAATGCCGTTGTGTTCCTTATCTGATCCGAGCAGCATTATCTTTTTGAAGTCCTCTTCAAAGCAAGCACTACCTTATGAGATGGAGTGCCAGAGAAATGATGAGAGCCAGAGAGGGTTTAGTGTGGATGCAAGATCTCTTAATTGTGGATCAATGTCTGAATCAACCTAGAGCTGTGCCTTAAAGCAACAAACTGGAACATTATGGGACTCTGCGTAAAATGATCAGCCATGTTGCAGTATATTGATATTCATGTTTTTAATCTAGGTTTTCTCCCTTTTATTATGCATTCAAACTTATCATGGTATTGTTTTTTTGTTGCTATCTTTTTCTTGTTGTTATAATATAATTACCCAATAATGTGCTGTGAAATACCAATTTATATTATTAATTTCAACTTAATGTGCAATTGAATGCTGACATTTTACAAAACAAATAAAAAAGAATATAATATAATATTATTTTACACTTTCTTCTTTCTTTTGGCAGATGAACACAATAAAACATTGATATGTATACGCATGTAATGGGCTTTCATTTTGAGCAATGTAAGAAATAAATAATCATCAATAGCACAACTGTTATATATTTATATTCCTAAAATATACAGAAGCGTAAAATAATTAAATGACTGGAAATACTGCGCTAGAATTGTTGCACAACATCAGGATGCTGCCTCGCAGCAAAAGAGCAAAACAATATGTAAAAAGAGCGCGAGTTGTAAATTGATATATGAACACTCTATAATTAATGTGTCAAATATAATCACAATTATAAATATAAACAACGCGATATGTTTCAGAAATAAACCTGCTCAACAGACTGTTGAGTTGAACTAACCCTTAAAGATATAATACATAGAGTGTATTATATTGAATATATGCATGGCTTCAAAAAGCAAACGCCTAAATATGCTAACACTTTCTTATATTGTTCGTTTCGTTCGCATTAAAAAAGTACGTGCATTGAAAAGCTATAATATTGTGATGCACCTTAATAAATTAGATCCGAACCACTGGAGAAAAAGAAAGTATTTAAATTATACAAAAATTATCAAAGTTTATTATCCCAAAATAATATCACAATTCTACATCCACCTACGGTTTAATATATTATTCAATACAGCGGACTAAAAAACAGCAGATGTAGTCCAAGAAAAAGCAACGTAACGCAGTGATATGTTGTTTTTTTCTTCTCCCAAAATGCGTAGGTGTACTTCCGCTCCTCGATATACTACTATTAGCCTACCTGTACTTTTTACATGTATATAACAGCCGGGGATGAATTTGTTTTCGATAAACTGGAAAGCGGTGACGCATCGGACAGCGATTGGACATCTTGGTTTCAACTCCTCCCTTATAATAAAGAGTGTGTGTGTCTCCTGTTGTAAAACACAGCAACACCGGGCGTCTGCGTCAGGAGGGCATACTCCACTCTGAGCAATTACGCGGACTCCTAACTGGCACAGTGATCAGAAAGAAACCAAAAGGCATTTTTTTTAATGGACTTTTAGCCATCCTGAGGACTTGCTTCGTGCACTTCAATGCAACTCTGAATGTTATGATATCATTATCACGAATGTGCTCCGAGCACAGCTTAAAATAGGTGTCTTATAAATAGGCATTTTATTTCTTTTTAAATAGATTCTTTCTTCTCTTAAATTGGCTCCCGTAATAACCGTCGCGTTGGATCCCTCGGCTTACTGCGAGACTCCGGTGTACAACCCGGATCTCTGCCCAAACATGATAGCCGCCCAGGCAAAGTTGGTGTATCACCTCAACAAATACTACAACGAGAAATGTCAGTCTCGAAAAGCAGCCATCTCCAAGAGCATCCGGGAGGTGTGCAAGGTGGTAACGGATGTCCTGAAGGAGGTCGAGGCGCAGGAGCCCCGCTTCATCAGCTCTCTCAGCGAAATGGATAATCGTTTCGAGGGACTGGAGGTCACTTCACCCACCGAGTTCGAGGTTGTGCTCTATCTCAATCAGATGGGAGTATTCAACTTTGTGGATGACGGGTCACTCCCGGGCTGTGCCGTGCTCAAGCTAAGCGACGGCCGCAAGAGAAGCATGTCTCTCTGGGTTGAATTCATCACAGCCTCCGGTTACCTCTCGGCGCGCAAGATCCGCTCGAGATTTCAGACACTGGTGGCGCAGGCTGTGGATAAATGCAGCTACAGAGATGTTATCAAAATGGTCGCTGACACAAGTGAGGTGAAGTTGCGCATCAGAGACAGATATGTGGTGCAAATCACGCCGGCGTTCAAGTGCACTGGGATCTGGCCACGAAGCGCTGCGCACTGGCCTCTCCCCCACATCCCCTGGCCGGGACCTAACCGAGTGGCAGAAGTCAAGGCGGAAGGTTTCAATCTTTTATCCAAAGAGTGCTACTCCCTGAACGGCAAGCAGAGCTCAGCAGAGAGCGACGCCTGGGTCTTGCAGTTCGCCGAGGCCGAGAACCGGCTGATCCTGGGTGGATGCAGGAAGAAATGCTTGTCAGTCCTCAAAACGTTGCGTGATCGTCACCTCGAACTGCCCGGAACACCCCTGAACAACTACCACATGAAAACTTTGGTTTCCTACGAGTGTGAGAAGCATCCCAGGGAGTCAGACTGGGATGAGAACTGCCTCGGAGACCGCCTGAACGGGATACTATTGCAGCTGATTTCATGTTTGCAGTGCAGAAGGTGCCCGCATTATTTCCTCCCTACTTTAGACCTGTTTCAAGGAAAACCTCACTCTTCTTTAGAGAATGCAGCCAAACAGACTTGGCGACTGGCAAGAGAAATACTGACCAACCCCAAAAGCTTGGAGAAACTTTGAGGTAAAAAATATGTTAGTTCACCTCGTCTTAAAACATGTGGTAAAAAGGCCTAACGAGCTCATAAACGGACAGAAACACATTGCCAACCAATTTGCAAAGTTTTATGAAATGTGACTGTCCTCTGTCGTTGAATATTTGTTTGGCATAGCCTCTTTTGATATTTTTAATGACGGTTAAGTTTGCCCTTATCCCCCGTGCACCTTTTGGCGGTGTCAATATTTCAGAGCAAATTTAAATTATTGGCTAATCCAGGAGGCCACACCAACAGTGGTTCTTTTCTCTCCGTGCCACACGGTTGCCTAAATCCGATATTTCCTTAAATAATCTAATTAAGCCCCGTGGGAAACTTGGGAAATAAAATAAAAATACACATCTGTACATTTTATACTGTAAATACCTTCATAGATTGTGATTCCAGTGGTCTGAAATTGTGAATGTTGTTCTGTGACACGTAAATAGGATCCACCTGTTTAAATTTACTTCTGAACTTTTTTTTTATCTGGTAGAAACGTTATTAATTTATACTTGCATCAGTGGTAGTCTGATTCATCTGTTTAAATGGACATTGTCGAATTTTTTAAGTTTACATTTTGATAGGCGTACAACATTTGCTTCATTGAAAACATTCCAGCAATTTACTTGAATTATTATTTAAAGTACTCGAACATGTTTTGGTTGTTGTTTATCTACCATGCTTAGGCCTACATGATAAAAAAAAATGAAAATGATAACATATATAGTATAAATATATATATTACAATATTAATTGAAAAAAATGCACTTGAAATACACTGGATTATAACATCTGTGATCTGATTTTTTTATTTCTGTCTTTGATCTAATTTAAAGCGCTAATAAAACGAGCTGTTTTATATTTGTGTCCCATTATGGTTTTCTTAAATGTGTTTTCAACAGTAGTGAAGCAGGCCTAATGCCATGCGATAATAATATAATGCAATGGGTCTCTTGTTCTTGTGGGCTTTATATGCGTATTATATGGATGAGCTTGACATCTTTAAAAAATAGGGAAATAGGAATGATTAATTTCCATACACAGCTTTTAAAACAGACCTTCGATCAGTTAATATCTTTCAAAATACAACCTCCGTGCCATATATTCGCTTGTATCGTTTGATTGTTGAACCTGGATGACGAGTAGGCCACAATTATCATTACAATATATATTTTTAAAAAAATGCTTCAATAACAGAGCAAATTTAAAAACACGAAATAGAAATAAACAAGGAATTTACAACACAAGTTTTCGCACAACACGTCATTAAATGAATACAAAAACAGAACATGGAAACATGCAGCGCACCAAGCGCTTTTTCTTTATAACAATGTTGTATTTAAAATACAGTAAAAGTGGTTATCTTCTTGTTGGCCAGTTAGAATAAAAATAAATCCCCACTGGGAAACACGTAGCCAAACGACACTTTGAACTTGGGCAGCACACTTGCTTGCAGGTTACTTACCTTAGAGTCAACCCTTTTGAAGGTGGGGTCATCCTCGTCCACCTCGAAGTAGATTTCGGTGGTGGTGATGGACAGAGTCCCCCGGGCCACCAGGACGGGGGCCACAAGCTGGGCCGGGCTGCTCAGGACCACTGGGCCTGCAGAGAGGGGGCAGCCATGCTAAATCAGTTACATGGAACAAATATTATATTTATGTTAACAAAGCAGGTGGAGGAGAAGTCTGTAGGCTATTATCAGTGCATTTACATTGAATATCATAGCATAATAGTCGCCTGTTTGCATTAAACTGCTGTATTTGGACCATGCAGCTATAAACACTCAATCATTTTTTTAATTCATTATTGTACATGGGGCAAATATTATGCATTATTAAAGTCTTAATTTGTAAAAGCCCTATTATTCATCGACTTACAAATCAATGGAGCTGAACGCCCTTTTGTCTTTGTTGTATGGTCGTATGCGCCGCCTTTAATACGCATATGTATCTGTATTATATTTAAGCACTTAAAACATAAACATGTTTTATTATTGGATCCGACCAAACGCATCACCACTATTTCGAGTTAAATAAAATAATCAATTTATTTTCCTCACATGATAATACCATCATAACGTGTTTGCAGTGCCGGTCTGAAATCAAAATGTATTGCTGACATTCAGGGATGCTTAAAAATTAGAAGCCTATAAATGCATTCCAAACATAAAAATACTGCTTTTTATTCTGCAATAGACTTAAAAAAACACGCTTAAAACAAACTAAAATACTGTTCTCAAGTCCTAATAATTGTCCAGAATTTAAGATGGCTTTGTGACCCTGCCAGCTGATAGCGATCACATCTTTATTTCAGTTCCCCCTCCTTCTCTTCCTCTGCTTCATCCTCCATGTTCTCACATCAGTGTCGCTGTGGAGCACCGTTACAGTCATGTGTCTGCTCTCACACGCAAGCTCTGGAAACCAAGATATTTATCGATCCCTTAAACTCCAAAGAGCCACTTTAATGTCTCATCAATCTTAATCTGCGTTCCTCAGCCAATTATACCCGATAGTGTTACAGGAATACAAGTGGATTTCGGTCTCAACTCCCCCAGCGCCCCTTCATCGCTCCTCGGGCTGCAGGCAGACCGCCCTCTCCGGGTCTCTCTCAGCGCTGCTCGGCTCCATTAACGGTGATCCTATCTGCTGATGCTATCAGACCAGGCGCTACACGTTGCTTACAAGCTCCATATAAAAACTTCCCCTGACCTATTTTACTGCATTTCAAATAGCCTAACGTTACATCTATTAATAAAAGAGAAAAAAACAAAACAAAACAATTGCAAGCCATATTGTAACTATTAATTATGTCAATTCATATTGTCTTTATGTTCACTAATTACATCCTATTCACCTTTTACTAAAACTAACACGTTTAGTGCTGATGTATTGTATTGAGGCCCTAAAGTGCTATACAGAGAGAGAAAGACACAGCCTGAAGCATTAAGCTATACAGCATCCATTGCACATGGGGAGGAAGAGGATTAGTCAGTAATCCCCTCAGGGATCTTTCCATAATTAGGCTATATGGCATAAAAATGTTTACAAGAGAATAATGAAATTAAGGGCAAGCTACACAGGATCAGCGGTGTACAGTATAGAGCTCGAATGCTCTCTGTTTGGTCTTTCTTTTAATGAAAATGTAAATATTTGTCAGATGACAGGACAATTTAATGAAGTGAGGTGTGTTGGGAGTTTGGGAGAACTATTGAGAAGACGGGTACATTATCATTGCCCACAATCCATCTGCTGGACGGCCTGTTTACTTTTTTATTTTACAAAATGAGAGAAATACAAGTGGAAGTAGGTTCACACCTGAACACTATCATTTACTTATTAACATGCATGTTGAATTATGGTAGTTACACACACATGTGTATGCACAGCTGCAGCCATGACTGAATACGGAGCATCTGAGGCACAGTGGCTTGTTGTTCATTTGAGTCACTGAAGCAGTGGTAATTTTTTCCACTGTTTTCAAAGCCAGCATTTATCTCTCAATATATTAGGTATAGATGTAAAAATCTTGAGAAATGTGAACTGATCTGCAAACTATTCATTTGAGCTGCAGCATACATCATTTAAATTAAAATATTAAAACAAATATTTAAAATATCCAGGGTTGTTAGTATACTTTCTTTTGACGTAATCCTGGTTTTCAAATATTATGAAAAGATATGTATGCTAAACAAACATAGAAGAAACTTGGCATAAAAGGCATAAAAGCAGATTAACATTGTCTTCCTCTTTTTTTTCTAAAATGGTTTAACCCTTTTATTAAAATTGGCCTTGTTCAAGGGATCAGTATTACAAATGGACACTACAATTGATACATAGAGACCAAATGAGGGCAGAACAAAATGGTTGTGGCTATTAAACCACACCACGGGGTAAACTAACATGGTTCCGGTATAAGAAGTGCCATGCAAGGCTCAGACTATTTTCTTTCACATGCTCATTTTAGGGTGAGTTATTTTGGAAGTTGAGTTATTTTGGATCACTCTACTTGAAATATGCATGTAAAATAATTGGATTGAATATGCAGACAGGCTCATGTAATGCCACTGAAAGCATTGACAGCATTTCCAATGTTTGTGGGGGAGCAAATCTAAGATTAGGTTCAGTATCCAAAACTGCCCCGGCCCTAGAGAGCAGGGGCCTCCCCTTTGGCAGGCACTGACCCAAAGGCTGGCAGGAGAGCCCTGTTGTTGACAAGGATCTAGTCCCAGATCTCTCATTAAGGCTGTTCATGCCTGAGATTAGATACAGACAGTGCATCCTGTTAAAAACATTACCCAAATGTTACAGTGAGAGGGAGCTCCCCCACTGGTCAAAACATGAACTTAATATATTTTTTGATTTAAGCATTTACTCCTCAATATCAACGTCCACACTCAAAATTGGTTCATTATTTGATTCAAGCTTACACATTATAAATGTATCATAAATATTCAATATCACATTTACTCTTTTGTACAAGGTCGTTAATGGTTCTCTGGAGAGGATACATTGTGCGGGTGTTTTAGCCCCTGCCTTGCTCTTTTGGACAGTGCAGGGTTCATCACAGACATGCTGGCCCTGGGACAAAGGGGAGGGGTTAAAGATTCTTCTGTCTGATCTTAGAAGGGATTTCAGCGTTGCCCTGGTTCAGCTTGAGCCTCATAAGCCATGGTAACTAGGTAACGTGCACAGGGCTACATGTCTGGTGATCTAATTTGGGGAATTTTTTTGATATACACTTTTTTAAAACTACAATCTGCACTTGAGATAAATAATGTACATACATGCCTCCATATTTTTTCCATTGACACATTTTTCAGATGCAACCCTGGTTGAAGACATACCAAATGTCACGTGGAGGGATTATGCAATCAACCATATCCATCTGTTAAACACAAATTGCTTTGTAGACTGTGATTATTTTAACTTGTATAACCTTTTAATACAATTCTCTGAAATACAAAAATCTCTAACATTAGACATTATTGAAACATATTTTATACAAAACATGTCAACCCTAAGAGCTAAACATTCATATACAGTCTTTTAATGTTTATTTAAATCCACTTAAGTAGCCAATAATTCAGAATAAAACCACATCCAGCTCTCAAAAACAATGGCACGCACTTACTTTTCACATTTGACTGCTTTATTATCCTTGTCACGGCGATATACTGTTTTTTGGAACAGGTAATGGCTGTCAGGGATAAATATTAGTATGTATACTTCTAAAACACCTGTATCATGCAGGCATTGAACCAGTAACAGGCTGTACAGTACTTATTTAAACCACCAATTGCTTGTATGACGTGTTAAGTAAAGATTTGAACTCTGGGTATATTACCTTTTAAAGTCAGGGTTATTTGAGAAGCAGTGGATGGTTAGTTTGATAGTTTGGCTCACACACTGACTGTGATGCTGGTTATATGACAGGATCTTTGGGAGACCAGCGCTTTGGCAATAGGCTGCACTATTGACTGAATTGCATCTGGCAAAGTATTAAAACTAAGATAAGATACGTTATTAAAAAACAAAACAAATACAAATCACATGGGTAAAATAAATCAAAGATAAATAAAGGCTATACGTTGTATTGGTCTTTCCTCAGCTGTTAAGGGCCAATTCATATCCTAATAATTGTTTACTGTAGAGAGAATGAGGGTTAGTTTGACTGCAAGATAATAAAGTTGTTTGTTCTCCCTTAAAGGTCCCATGTCATGCTTTTCTGGTTCCTACTCGTCCCCTTGTGTGTTATGTAGCTTGTTCTGCATGTAAACGGTCTGCAGAGTCACAAACCCTCAAAGTATACCCTGTAGCGAGTAGAACTCTAACACAGAAAATACCTGTCTATGCGGCCCCAGAACGCCTCGTTGGACATTTCTCTTTTTCTTCCTGGGTACAGTGACGTATTTGGGTATAGTGATGTAACGTAACGTCCGCGGAGCCGTTACGTTAAGTCCGTGGATTGGTCCACATGGACCAATCCACGGACTTCCTGACACACACACACTCAATCTTTTCTCAGCTGCAGCTTCGCCGATTTTTCCGCCTGAGACGGCGGGACGCGGCGAGTCTGTGTGTGAACACACACACAAACTCCCAGCCAGGCTGCGGGTGTGTGTGTGTTTGGGCTGGGTCTTGCTGTGTCTCGCTGTCTCGCAGACGGCCACTGGGCTCACAGGGAGGGGGGGAGGGGGGGTCAGGAGCTCCAACAAGCCGTTTATGACAGAGAGTGAATACACATACTATACAGAGATGCTGTAGAACCCTACCCTAACCCTAACCCATGAGAAACCAATGTGAGTTTGGAAAATTGCACAATATACATTTATTTTAGTAGACCTCAACAATGGACATATGATCAGTAGAAATGGCCATGACATGGGACCTTTAAATGTTTACCAGCACAGGCGTTTACAAGGCTGACTTTTACTATTTTACAAGAGGCGTAAGGTCATTTATCTGAATGCAGTTGAAAGAGTAATTAGAACTTTTTACATCATAATTCATGCTGTGCTGCATGCAAAAACATGTAATACATTTCACTGATTGTCATGTTATCTGTATAATCCCTTTACATTTAAACAAATTGTATG